GGGCAGGAAGGGCTGAGAGCGTGCGGGCAGAGGGGCCGGGCACAAGCAGCCTCTTTACCTGCTTTCTCGTCCGCGTCTTGCCCGTCCGCAGTTTAATGTAGCGTGCGATCAGCTCATTCCGGCCTACGGTGCGCGAGAGGAACGATGATGATGGTGGCTGGGGACTGGAAACCACGCCGGCCCCTCCCCACCCTCTGCACTCCGCCCCACCCCAGAGGCACGACCCGGGCAGCTGAGGGTGCTGGGGAGGCCCCAGGGCTGCCCACCACCTCCAGGGCCTGGGGGCTGCCCCCTGGGGGAGGGGAGGGGGGGCAGCAGAGGAGGAGGGAGGTGGAACGAAGTCAGGCTGGCAGGACAGGTTTCGGGCAGACAGACAGGGGCAGGTGTGGCCCAAGGGCAGCAGGACAGCCGGGCCCCTCACTCCCAGCCCCCAGCAGCGCTTCCTTCCTCCAGGGCTGTCACCAGCTGCGAATGTCTGAGTGTACGTGTTCCTGTGAGTGCAGCCTGGCCCACGTGGCCGATGTCTCTGCGAAAGTCGCCATGTGTGGGAAAGAGCTCTGGACTGGGCCCGTCCTAGCTGTCTTTGCCATGATGGTAGACCCCGGATAAGTCCCTTCCCTTCTCTGCTAAAACAGGCAGGGAGGACCGGGTGGGCTCCAACACACCTCCTCCACTGAGAGTCTGTGCCAAGGTGTGTCACTGAGCATGTCACTGTGTCCTTGAGCCTGTCACCCCCATGTCACCCGCTACCAGTGTCTCTCCCGCCCTGTGAGAGAACCCAACTGCTTGTCAGCCTTGGTGACAAGGTGGGGGGACTACTCAGCACCATGGGCCCTCTAAGGACCCAGAAGCTGGCCAGCACCTAGGGGGCTTAGCCCTGGGACAGGGGTGCTTGGGATCCATGGCTAGTTGTATGTCAGCATCTTCAGGGTATCTACTTAGCCCCCAAATCCAGGACCCCTGCCCCTAACCTCACAGCCTCCCCAAAATGGTCACATTCTCCAAATTCCTTTTTGATGACAGAACCAGCCCACGGCTCCTCCCTTCCTGCCTGCTCCTCTCCACCCCACTCCCTCCACCCCATCTAAAAATACCCTGTGGGGCTGCCCCAGCCATCTGGGAGGTGGCAGTGGGGGCAGGCAGCTCCCGCCCTGTGGAAGGCGCCTGGAACATCTGCCTGCCCCGTGAGTGGCGCTCGGGTGCTAGGGCTGGGTGTGGCAAGTGGGTGGGGCAGGGGACATGGGGCAGCCCTTAGCACTAGCCCAGCTGCCTCCTTCCTGCACCCGCCATGGTGCTGGACGCTGGGAGGGGACAGGCTGAGGGCCTGCCTTACTCAGCCGTAGGCTGTCAGGGAGGGTTGGAGGGAGCTGGCAAAGAGCCAGGCAAGAAGGGTTGAGTTATCCAAAAAATGCAGCTCGGGGAGAGCCCTCAGAGCTGGACAAGAGGGGGACACTCCCTTCTGGAGGCAGGAGGTGGGCAAGGTGGCAAAGAGGGGAGCCAGGGAAGGAGTAGACTTGGGAGGGGGTCTGAGGAATGACCCAGTCTCTCCAGCCCTCTTCCCAACACAGGCCCTTGTCCCAGTGTGGCTTCCCCCCACCCTGCAGGCCTCCCCTCCCCCACTGGCCGGAGGCACTGGCAAGTGGGAAACCCTGCTCTGCACTGGGATTCCCACCCTAGGCCTCACCCCTCAGGCTCCCCCACATCCTGCCAGGGGAGGGACCCTCTCCCAGGCCTAGCCTGGAGCACACTGGACTGACCCAGTTTCCTGGGCCCACTGAGTCACCCCGAAACCTCCAGGCCAGCAGTGGGGAGGAGAGAAGCAGATGAGTGTCAAGGTGTGGGCCAGGCTCCGGTGGAGGGGCAAGCCGGGCTTGTTTACGAGGTGGAGAGACACACGGGCTTGCACGCACAGACTCGCCCCTGGCGGGCTGTAGGACTTGGCCAAACCGGTTGGGTGAGGGGGCAGAGAGCAGGGGGAGGGGCTGGGGAGGGCCAGGCTGCCTCCCCACCTTGTCCAGTGTCCCTCTGTCTCCCCACACGCACCGTACATCTTGCCCTCGTCTGACAGGATGATCTTGCGGCGGCCGCAGGGTGGGTAGATGGCCAGCGCCTCCTGGAAGCTCTGCTCGATGTCCGGGCTCCACACTCCCTCGGCATCGTTGTCCAGCCCCTTGTCCAGGCCCTCGGGCCCATCCTCCCGGGCCTCCCCGGGGCTGCTGCTGGCGTTCCAGCTGTTGGACGCTATTGTGCTGGTTACTCTGGGCTCTGGGCCTGAGCCCACCGACAGCCTGTGCCTGGGGGGCAGACGCGGCGGGTGAGGGCCAGGGTCCTCCCGGGCCACAGCAATCTCCCTCCCCAGGGGCAAGTGCTCTGGGCCAGGTGGAGGTAACCAGGGGTTAACTTATTCAGCGCTGCGTGACCTTGGATGAATTACTTCACCTGCTCGACCCTCGGTCCTATAAAATGAGGAAAGGGTCTCCTTGAGGTGGTGAGGGTTGAAATTAAATGAGATCCTGACCAGTGCCAATCACAATTCCTGACTCGTAACACTGTGACAGTACTGGTAGGTGATTAATAACAATAATGCCTTCTATCTACACAGGGTGTCTGTGGGCAAGAACACTGTCATATGCATTCAATCCTCAAATCTAAGCAGGGAGGGCAAGGAGTGATGCCCATTGTTCAGGTGAGGAAAACTGAGGCTCACGAGGTCATGCGGCTGTCAAAGGCAGCGTGAGGAGCCAGGAGAGGAGGGTCACAAGGGGCAGGGCCCAGCATGTCTGCAGCTCTCAGGGGGGCTCCTGGGCTCACTCTGCCAGCTTCTCCTCCCTGTCTTCGGGATCCCCACCCCTGTTTCTCCCCCGCCCCAGCATCAGTACAACTCTGCTGAGGACCTGCTGTGGGATGAGGAAGGGTGAGGTTTTGCCTTCCCCAAAAGATAACCCTCGAGAACCCTGCCAAGGAACCTAAGCACGGGGCAGGTAGTGCCCCAGAAATTGCAAGAGAGAGACGCTGGCTGGCAAGGGAGCAGCCGAGAAGGTGCCTGGCCCACAGCCTTGCTCAACCCCACCCGCTCCCCCATCCCACTTCCGGTTCCCGCACCTTTGGGCCTACAGCAGCCCATAAACCACCCACACGCCCGCCCCTGCCCTGCCCACACTGTGGCTGGGCCAGGGCCCTATAAACTCTGAGTTCCCTGCAAAGCCGGGCTGGGTTATTCATTTAGACCAGTCCAGTCCCCCCAACACACACAGCCCCAAGCCCCCCATCTCCCCATCGGCCTCCAAATCTGCATGCCCAGTGTATACCAGGGTGCTGGGAGCCTCAGAGCCCAAGATGGCTCGATCCTGGGACTTTGCTCTGGGCTGCAGGGCAAGCAGGGGCAGGGTAGGAAGGTGGGGGACCCCCTCAGAAACCAAGGAAGGGAATTCTTTTCCCTCAGATAGGAATTCCAGGTCATGCTGAATGGGCGGAGGATCTCCCCGTGGGGACACGTGTTTGCTTAGGAAAACTTGAAGGGGGTGGCTAGTGGCATGGAATGAAGGGCCTGGGGAGTTTAGACTTAGTATTACTACTAATGACAGCACCTGCCAAAAGGCAGGCACTGTTCTGGTATGTTACACACATTGACTCACTTAAGTCTCACAATAACCTATGGGGTAGATACTATTATTATTCCCACTTTACATGCGAGGAAACCAAGGAACAGAGACGTTAAGCAACTTGCCTAAGAACACACAGCTAGTAAGTGCTAGAGCAGACTGAACTCAGGCAATCTGGCTTCAGTCTCTTAACCAAGGGGATGGGGCTGGGCAGCTCCACCACCTGTGCTGGAAAGGACAGCCACCCAGAGTGTGCCCAGTGGGGTCCAGACCAGGGAGCACCCTTCAGCCCAAGTGGCTGGAGCAACTTCAAGGACCCCAACACTGCTGTACCCCTTTCGGCGAGGCCTCCAAGAGCAGCAGGAACAGCTCTACTATGCCAGGGGGTAGCCAGGCAGAGAGGGAGCCATGCTCCTGACCAGTCGGGGTCTGAACACCTCCACTCCCGCCCGTCTCCACCCAGGGAGCTGTATCCCCATCGCATCTTCTCCTCAACCTCCCAGACCAAGTTCTTGGAATAAAAATGTGGGGGACAGGGACTCTGGAGGAACCAGAGACTCCTATACTGAAGAAATTGGGATACAGGGCCTCCCCCCAGGTCTGACACTGTCATGAGCTGTCAGAGGGGAGGCAGAAGAGGGGCTACAGTGAGTTGAGACCCTTCCCGACAGAGTCTTCGACACGTATTCCCCCAAATCCTTGCCTGCAGCCTCCCTCTGCGCAGTGCAGGCCCAGTGCACAGGGGGCCGGGGCAGCCGGCTTTTCAAAGCAACTTTCCTGCCTCCCCCAAGTCTCTGCGCGCCTCCCCTCATCCAGGCGGCGGCCCCCCTTCCCGGGTGATGTCAGCCCCGCCCCGCCCCCCGCAGGAGCACTGTGGCCAAATATGGCGAACACAGCGG